GGTCCCTGTCCATACCAGGCTCAGTCCCCAAATCTCCAGGAGTTTCCCAACACCTGGATCTGGCAACCTTACCTCCCATCCCCTGCTGGTGGCTGGGGGAGACCTGGCAACCATACGTGGACCACTCCTCCATGAATCTGTCTAATCCCCTTTTAAAGCTTATAAAAACATAAGAGAACATAAGAGAAGCCAATGTTGGATCAGGCCAATGGCCCATCCAGTCCAACACTCTGCCACACAGTGGCCAAAAAGACCACGTGCCATCAGGAGGTCCAGCAGTGGGGCCAGGACACTAGAAGCCCTCCCACTGTTGCCCCCCCCAGCACCAAGAATACAGAGCATCCCTTGCCCCAGACTGAGAGTTCCTATCTATACCTTGTAGCTAATAGCCACTGATGGACCTCTGCTCCATATGCTTATCCAATTCCTTCTTATAAGAACATAAGAGAAGCCAATGTTGGATCAGGCCAGTGGCCCACCCAGTCCAACACTCTGTGTCACACAGTGGCCAAAAAGACCAGGTGCCATCAGGAGGTCCAGCAGTAGGGCCAGGACACTAGAAGCCCTCCCACTGTTGCCCCCCCAGCACCAAGAATACAGAGCATCCCTTGCCCCAGACTGAGAGTTCCTATCTATACCTTGTAGCTAATAGCCACTAATGGACCTCTGCTCCATATAAGAACATAAGAGATGCCAATGTTGGATCAGGCCAGTGGCCCACCCAGTCCAACACTCTGTGTCACACAGTGGCCAAAAATACCAGGTGTCATCAGGAGGTCCAGCAGTGGGGCCAGGAGGACAGTAGAACCTTCTGCCTCTGGTTGTCAGGTGCTGGGGAGCTGTCAACATTGGAAGGCTGTTGTCTGAGGGACCTGCTTGTGAGGTACCCTGTGGCATCCATCTGATTGCTGTGGGAAACGGGATGCTGGAGAAGACGGGCCATTGTTCTGGCCTATCTGGACTAGTCTTATTATCTTACGGCTAGGGCACGGGGTAAGCACGGAAACTAGCACTCCGTGGCAAAGCCAGGATGGAATCTGCTGGGTGGGGTCTAGAAAAACTTGAATGTTTTAAGGGTGGAATTTGCAGCCAGAGGATGTAGTGATGGCCACAGGAATCAACAGCTTTAACCGAGGATTAGATAGGTTCATGGAGGATAAGCCTATCAATGGCTACTAGCCGTGGTGACTGAGGGGAACCTCCACGTTCAGAGGCACTGAGAGAGCCAGGAGGCAACATTAGGGGAAGGCCTCGGTCTCTATGCCCTGTTGTTGACCCTCCAGAGAAACAATTTTGCCACTATTTGAGACAGGATGCTGGACTAGATGGGACACTGGTCTGATCCACCAGGGCTCTTCTTTATGTCTTATGAAGGCCTCGGCCTCCATGCCCTATTGGGACCTTTGGAGGTTACTGGTTGTCCACCGTTTGAGACAGGATATTGGCTAGATTGACCACTGGTCTGACCCAGCAGGGCTCTTCTTTATGTCTTATGAAGGCCTCGGCCTCCATGCCCTATTGGGACCTTTGGAGGTTACTGGTTGGCCACTGTTTGAGACTGGATGCTGGATTAGATGGACCACTGGTCTGATCCAGCAGGACTCTTATTTATGTCTTATGAAGGCCTCGGCCTCCATGCCCTATTGGGACCTTTGGAGGTTACTGGTTGGCCACTGTTTGAGACAGGATGTTGGCTAGATTGACAACTGGTCTGACCCAGCAGGGCTCTTCCTATGTTCTTATGAAGGCCTCGGCCTCCATGCCCTCCCTCCAGAGGAACTGGTTGGCCACTGTGTGAGACAGGATGCTGGACTAGATGGACCACTGGTCTGATCCAGCAGGGCCCTTTTGATGTTCTTATGAATCAGGGACAGAGCTTCTGCAGAACTGGAGTGATGTCCTGCAGAATGTGGATGTGACTTGCTTTTTGCTCTAGCCCATGACTGACCATCCCCCTTTCCTGTAGGCCTTGCTGAAATTATGCCAGGTTCTACAACTGGGGTCTCCAACCTTTCTGTGGGCTTCTTAAGGAATTCTGACACAGAGTGGTGGCGGGCAGAGTCACCTATTCGGCACAAGAGGTGTAGCCACACATACAGAAGAAGTCTAAGTACACGGAAGAAAAGGGATAATAATAAAAAAAAAATACACTGAGAAAGAGGAGTGAAAGAGAATAAAACCAACACTGTGGGGACGGCTGCCCCTGAAACAATGTTATTTCAATCTGCCCAGCCATTTGGATCTGCAGTGGCCCATTTGAAGCCCTATCTGGCCTCACCCACTTTCTGAAAACACTTGGCAGGGGCCAGGAAAAGTACTGTCAGACACCATGGTGCTAGGGTTGCCAGGTCTGGGTTGGGAAATACCTGGAGACTTTGGGGGCGGGTTTTGGGGAAGGGAGGGGCCTCAGCATAAGAACATAAGAGACACCAATGTTGGATCAGGCCAAAGGCCCATCCAGTCCAACACTCTGTGTCACACAGTGGCCAGAAATACCAGGTGCTATCAGGAGGTCCACCAGTGGGGCCAGAACATTAGAAGCCCTCCCACTGTTGACCCCTCCCCCCAAGCACCAAGAAGACAGAGCATCACTCGCCCCGGAGCCCCTATCTATACCTTGTGGCTAATAGCCACCATGGAGTGCCCACCATAAAAAGGAAGGAGATGAGTCCTTTCCACACCTGCGACAAAATACCTTGCATTAATCCCTGGTTATAACAGCATCCGTTTATCCCGGGGAAAGTGTGGGGTGAAACAGGGGTGGCCTCAATGTAATGTGGAAGCAAAAAATACCCCGAGATAATTACAGGGGTGAACTTGCGTGTAGTGGAGAGGTAAAAATTGTTGGTACAGCATGGTACAGTGCCCTTCCAAGCAGCCATTTTCTCCAGGGGAGCTGATCTCCGTCAGCTGGAGATCAGTTGTAAAAGCGGGGGCTCTCCAGGTCCCCCCCCCCGGAAGCTGGCAACCCTACATGGTGCCCACAGCCGGGCACCACATTGGGGGCCCGTGTTCTACAATAGCACGAGGCCCAGAATAAAGTCTGTGTGCCTGTTTATTTCCTCTCCCTGCCTCTGAGCACCAGAGTGTAAAATGTCAACATGCAGCAGAGCAGAACCGGAATTCTGGGGAAGGAAGAGAAACAGCCCCGGCTATGAACCAAGAAGGGGAATCTCAGCTTTGACAGTTTTTATAAAGTCACGGGGTTATGCAGATGTCTGGAAATCTGGTTCTATTCCCCTCTCCCGTAGCTCTCTGTTGCTGGAAACTTGGCCGCCACTGTTCTGCCTGGCCTGAAAAAGAACACCGAATACCAGATATCGATTTGGGCGTATTACAAGGACGGGGCTCGGAGTGATACAGTCTCTATTCGGCACAAGATCAGTAAGTGTCTAGAAATATGCCTGTCGGTGGCTTTGGGGACTGGGGTGTACTGAACTGAGACGTCATGTGACTGTTAGCCCAATCCTACGCAGCAGTGGACTTGTAACTCTGCATGACGTGAAAATGTGAACGGCGACCTCAGTGGGCTTGGATAGGAGTAATTCTGCATGAGATAAAAATGTTGGGTAAATATATGAAGCAAAGGTCCACGCGTGGCTATTAGCCACAAGGTATAGATGGAACAGTATGTCTGGAGCAGTGATGCCAGTTTGGTGTAGTGGTTAAGTGCGCGGACTCTGATCTGGGAGAACCGGGTTTGATTCCCCACTCCTCCACTTGCACCTGGCTGGATGACCTTGGGCAAGCCATAGTTCTGATAAGAGCTGTTCTTGAAAAAGAGCCGTTTCTGTCAAGAGCTCTCTCAGCCCCACCTGCCTGACAGGGTGTCTGTTGTGGGGAGGGGAAGGGAAAGGAGTTTGTAAGCCGCTTTGAGACACCTTTGGGTAGTGAAGGGCGGCAACAGTGGGAGGGATTCTGGAGCTGTGGCCCCACTGGTGGACCTCCTGATGGCACCTGGGTTTGGGCCACTGTGTGACACAGGGCGTTGGCCTGATCCAACATGGTTTTTCTTATGTTCTTATGTCTGGGGCAGCGATGCTCTGTCTTCTTGGTGCTTGGGGGGGGCACAGTGGGAGGGCGTCTGGAGTTCTGCCCATGGTGGTGGACCTCCTGATGGCCCCTGGGTTTGGGCTACTGTGTGACACAGGGCGTTGGACTGGAGGGGCCATTGGCCTGACCCAACATGGCATTTCTTATGTTCTTATGTCTGGGGCAGCAATGCTCTGTCTTCTCGGTGCTTGGGGGGCCCACAGTGGGAGGGCTTCTGGAGTTCTGGCCATGCTGGTGGACCTCCTGATGGCACCTGGGTTTCGGCCACTGTGTGACACAGGGCGTTGGACTGGAGGGGCCATTGGCCTGACCCAACATGGCTTCTCTTATGTTCTTATGTCTGGGGCAGCGATGCTCTGTCTTCTTGGTGCATGGGGGGCCACAGTGGGAGGACTTCTGGAGTTCTGGCCATGCTGGTGGACCTCCTAATGGCCCCTGGGTTTTGGCCACTGTGTGACACAGAGTGTTGGACTGGATGGGCCATAGATGGACCACTGGTTTGATCCAGCAGGGCTCTTACATTAAGCTGTGTAATGATGGTTAAGGTGTGTCAAATCAGGATCTGAACCCGTCATTTAAATGTGGTTCATTAACCAATTATAACAGTGAGTTTTTGCATGACGGACAAATCCTGGCTTGTTCCCTGGCAATGCCTTCAACCCCCCCACCCCATACAGAGACGCTTAACCCCAGAGTAAAGGAAACCAAAGTGGCATTTGTTGAAACTAACCTGGATTTGATTGAATGTCTGCAAGTGGAATGATGTTGTTATGTCAAGGCCCATGGCTACACGCCGCTGTTTTGAAAAGGGTTATCAGAACTGGGACAATTGTTTCCCAGAATAATAGTGTTCACTATCTTGAAGCAATTTTTTTTTTATTGTGAAGGCGCTGTCGATTGTGTCAAAATATGTGTGAGAGCGAGAGGCTGTTCTGTGGGACAATCTGCTTTCACATCTTTCGCAAGGCCAGGTGCTTCCATCGTTACCCAGAGAAAGTCCCCCCCCCCCAAGGATGACTATAAGAAGAATGACTTCTGGGTAGTTGTGGCTGTATTCATGGGAGCTTGACACTGGGAGATTTGGCTAATAGAGCAGAGTCCAGTTCACATTCAGGTTGCAGTCGAAAGGAGAGAGAGAAGCCTCATCGAAAGAGCCCTTCCCCTGTCACAAATAGCCAGCTTGTCCGGTGTCACGTGTGTGGGAGTAGGAGGGCATTGTCTCCATAGGAGAGACCTGCAGAGAGATGGGTCTCCATGGAAGGCCATGTGAAGAAAGTGAGAGGACAAAGGGAGAAAGAGGAGGGATCAGAGGGCAGCTCCCAGGTGAAGACAAAGAGAGGCATCCCATTCAAGGAGATAACACACACACATAGAGTGCGTTCAGACGGGGCGTTTCTGCCGGCATAAACTGCACCGGTTGGAACCTGTGCAGTTTATGCCGGCAGAAACGCGATCAGACTCACCCTCCTGTCTGCAGAGCCCTCCAGTGGACGCCCGCTCACACGCTGCAGGCGTCGGCGGTTTTTTTTTTTAAAGCACAGTTTGAGCATGCGTATAGGCACCCATTCAGAGAATGGTGATCTTTGTGCATGCTCAAACCCTCCCCCCCATTACATTTAAACTTTAAAGGTAAGCACTTACCTTTAAAGCCCAACCTGAAATTGCGGGGGAAAGCCGGAAGCCTCAGGCTTCCGACGGAAGTGGCTGCGCAATGGAGGAGAGCGATCAGACGCCGGGGTGCACCGTTTTCAACCGTTGCACTCTGTTTACCACCACTTCGGACCTAGTGGCAGAGTGCAACAGTTTAAAAGGATTTACAACGGTTAGGGACGGGAGGCAGATGTTCGCTGTCTGAACGCCTGTAAGTACACCGGTTGGAACCGGCACCCTAACCGTTGTAAAGCCCCCGTCTGAACGCACCCAGAGAGTGATGTGGCGCCCCCCAGTATCCAGGGATGCTGAGTCGCTCACTCCCAACGCTCACACCACCTGTTAACAGCCTTCATATAGTCACAAACGGTTGGGAATCCAGGGTTCCCACTAAGCTGAATTAGTGTGAGCTAGCTCACATTTTTTTAGCCTCCGGCTCACGTATTTTTGTTTTAGCTCAAGAAGGATGGCTCGTCAGCAAACTAATTTATGCCACAGCCAAATTGCTCACTCACAACTTTAATGTCAGTAGCTCACAAAGTAGAATTTTTGCTCACAGGACTCCACAGCTTAGAGGGAACATTGGTTGGGATGAGGCATATAAACTAAAAGACGTGAACCAACTAGGGCAGCCCCTGAATGTTGCCTGCAGTGAAACTCTTGAGGTAAATATGGAGGCCTCTGCTAAAGCAGAGCACCTGAAGAATTTTGGGGGGGAGTGGAAGGTCTGAAATGGCGGACAAAGTTCTGGGGGGGGGGCTTTGCTGTACGCATCCTTCAGCTGCAACCGAATTCTTCTAAAAGCAATATTCAAGGTAAATGAGAATTTTCCCACGCGAACAGAACATCTGAGCTGTTTCAAGGGAAAAAAAAAACACTTATAAAGTGTTTTGATAAGATTAGCGAAGTTTTTCAGGGGCGTTTTGGGAAATGACTGCACCCAGCGTCTTATTTCGTTTACTTTATACCTCACCTTTCTCCCCAGTGGCAGCCCCAAGTAGCTTACATCGTTCTCCTCTCCTCCGTTTTACCCTCACAACAACCCTGTGAGGGAGGTCAGGCTGAGAGCGTGTGACTGGCCCAAGGTCACCCAGCAGCCTTCTGTGGCAAAGTGGGGACTTGAACCTGGGTCTCCCAGATTCTAGTCCAACATTTCAACCACTGCACCATGCCGGCTGTTTCTGTATAGCACTATCTGTGTCCATAAAGCATTGTACGGCAGGATAATATAATTCTCTTCTGACTGGAATACACATGAAGCTGCCTTATATTGAATCGGCCCTACAGTTGCCAACTCTGGGTTGGGAAATACCTGGAATTTTGGGGAGTGGAGCCGGGAGAGGACGGGGTTTGGGGAGGGGAGGGGCCTCAGCGTGGTACGATGCCATAGGATGTCACTCCCCCTCAACTCTGTGGGCCAAGTTAGGTAACTATAAATAATTGTAAACCACTTAGAGACCCCTCTGGGGTCAGAGCGGTATAGAAGTTGAAGAAGTCGAATGATAAATAGAGCAGCCTCCAGAGTAGCCGTTTTCTCCAGAGAGATCAGTTGGAAAAGCAGGAGATCTCCAGGCCCCGCCTGGAGGCTGGCAACCCTAATTCAGCCTATCGGTCTATCAAAGTCAGCATTCTCTACTCAGACTGGCGGCGGAACTCCAGGGTATCAGGCAGAGAAATCTTTCACATCACCTCCTACCCCCACCCTTTTAACCGGAAATGCCAGGGATCGAACCTGGGATTCTCTGCATGTAAAACAAATGCTGTGCCTCTGAACTGTGGCCCCTCCCCAAATACCACACCTGGGGAACTGGGACTGACAGAGAGCCTGATTCTGCATTGGCTTTTCCCTCTGTTGTTTTACCAAACCCACGCTGGAACAGAAAAGGTGCTGCTCAAAACCATATCCAGATACCTTGGGGCAATGCTGGACTGACTGCAAAGCCATCCCTGAGTGGCCATAAGTCTATGCAGAAGGTACCATAAAATCCAATGCTCAAAGAAAGTGAAAGCGGCATGCAGTGTAGAGGGTACCATAAAATCTGACGATTAAAGAAAGTGAAAGTGGCATGCAGCGTGGAGGGTACCATAAAATCCTATGATCAAAGGATGTGGAAGCGGCATGCAGTGGGGAGGTTACCATAAAATTCGATGCTCAAAGAAAGTGAAAGCAGCATGCAATGCAGGGGGGAATTTCTGTTCCAGGGTGGGTTTGGCATAACAACAGAAGGAAAAGCCAATGCAGAATCGCCCAAAGAGAGGGAGGGGGGAGGGGAGAGAGAGAGAGAGTGTGTGTTGCATGAGGCAGTATAAATTGCTTATAGCAGAGGTTCAAACTTCAGCCTCCTTCACCATCCCCAACTGAACAGTGGGACTACCGTTTCCTTCCCCTGGGCAGACCATCCTGTGCCTGCCTCAGTTCATTTTGAGTTTTCGGTTTCCTCACTGTCCCTCCGATCCAGGCCGCTTGCCCGCAGACGTCCCTAGTGACGTGTCCCTCCTTCCATTTATTGCCCGTGTCCCTTTTGATATTCAGCTTATCACTCAAGCTCTGTCTGCAATCACTTCGGCCCCTTGAAACGTTTCCCGTTTTTCTTTGTCGCCAGTATCGTTTGCAGTGGTGCCTTTAGCAACTCATTTTAAAAAGAACTTCCACCTGACTTGGACTCCTTTCTCCGGCAGAT